AGATTGGGGAACTTTGGAATATTTCTTTCAAATTTTTATAAGAAATAAAGTGGATTTAAATGTGCAAAATAACGCTGGAGAAACTCCTATAATGATTGCCATAAAGAAGGGGCAAATATTGCTAACTTCTTATCTTTTTCGCAAAGAGGTGGATTTGTCTATTTGCGATTACGACGGAAATAGTGTTTTGCACAAAGCTGTAATCTCTTTACATTTGCACGGTTTTTATGCTGTTGGCAATTGGTGCGATTTTTTGAGACGTTCTGAAAGTTCTTGTTCTAATGTTGATCCTCTGAAGAAAAACAATCAACATTTAACAGCGTTACAACTTGCAGTAAAAATGAAAGAAGATTTGGAGAAGAAATGTTCTCAAAAGGAAATTGAAGTTTCTAAAGCCGACAAAGATGACTTATCTACTCTTAAAGATATGGTTATATATTTAAGAAATAATATTTCACAACTTTGATTTAATTTTTGTTGGACTGGTATTTAAGTTAAAATAACTTCAATTTTTTTATTAATTGAGTATAAATTTGAAGTTTTAAAAATTGAAGGTTAGTTGAAGTTTTATAAAAAAAAGTTGAAGTTTAAAATTATGGGTTCTTTTTTGAGTTTTTCTGAAAAGAAAGATGAAGACGAGTTCTCAATACAGTATTTTGAGGAAAAGCTTCAATATAAGGGAGAGTTGACAGAATTGTTAAAATTGGTTACTGATAAAAAACTTTCACAATTGGATAAAATTATATATATGGTAAAAGATGATCCAACATGTTTAAATGATCGTGATAAGTATGGAAATACTGTTCTACATCGAATAATTCCAAATATTGAAGAAACTGATGTGTCTACTTGGATGGAACATAGATGGTTATTAAAGCATCTTATAAAAAATGGAGCCGATATTGAAGCAGAAAATATAAATCACGAAACTCCTATAATGATTGCTGTTCGTAAAAGAAAATGCAAAGTAATTCAATTTTTGGTTGAATGTGGCTGCAATTTAAACAAGCAAAATTATCGAAAAGAGTCAGTTTTGCATCTGGCAGTATACGATGATTGTATAACTGTTGTTAGTTTACTTCATTCTTATGGCGATTCACTTTTGAATGAAAGTTTGAGAAATTTCGAAAATTTTACTGCTTTAGATTTGTTGCAAAAAAATGTTGAGTATATTGAAGATAGAGACAAAATGATCACAATTCTTACAACGCCTTCAAGTTTATATAAAGAAAAGTTACTTCAATAATAAAAAATGTAGTTACTAATCTACTTAGTTAAAATGTTCATATATAGTTGGTTTTACATAACTGTATTAATAAAAATGTCTTTGATTTTCTCAGCGTCAGTCATGGCAGTTTTTGACATGATTTCATCTATTGCGCACAATAGTGTTACTCTTATTGCATCGTGACAATCGAACAACGGGTCTTCATATATGATACTTCTTTTTAATGAAGTGACATTGTTAACTGTGTGCATCATTTCTCTTATTGAACTGCCGTTTTGAATTTGTGTAGCTCTTCTCCGTTTGTATTCGGCAATCAAATCTGGGTTATTAGGGTTGGTAATGTAGTTAATATTAATAGTAGATCTAAGGTGTTTTAGTCGAGCAGCGTTGTTTTCGTATTTTGTTAGTTGATCCGTCAAAAGATATTTGCAAATGTTCAGAATGTCGAAAATAAAATGATCGATTAAGTATATTGAAAGTTGTTTCAAGTTGGTAAATATACCAAATTTCTGTCCAGTTAATTTCAGCATTAAAGGTTCGAGTCGATTAGTCAAATGTGGTAAAAAGGTAGCAAAAAGATGATCGTCAGAAGAAGGAGATAATGAAAAATCTTTTAGATTATCAATAGCTAAGCCAATTTGCTGTAAAGTCTCAAAAAAACGGTCATTTTGTCGAATGTTAAAAGGGAAGTAAGGTAAATCTCTACTCACAGTCGGAACATCGTCAGATAAATTGAAGTTAAAGATGTTCAGGGTTGGTCTTTCTTGTTGAGGTTCTGTATCAGGTTCTGAAATAGGTGGCGTTTGCGGCTCGAACGCTAGTGGAGTAGGTGGACTTCGTGCTGCGGGAAAGGATTTTCGGGCTGTTGGAGTAACTTTGGTTGGTTTTGGTGTAGATTCGTTGAAGTTTTCTACTTCTGTTGCTGATTCGTTTGCCGTGAGCGTTGTTTCAGTGTCTGTATCCATATCTGGAGCGACGAGTGGTCGAATTGATGGCATTAAAGGGAATGAAGGTTCTAGCAGCTCTTTTAGTCGATTGAACTCTTTTTATATTTCTGCATGATTTACAGTTACAGAACCTTCGCATTTCTTTTTGGGTGATGATTCGTCTTCCGACGTTGATGTTCTTTTATTTGAGCGTCTAAATGAAAAATTGAAGTTTAATAAAAAAAATTTGAAAAGTGTTTTTAAAAGATGTGTAAGTTAATTAAACTAAATGAACAGTTTAAAAAAGAGTAAAAAGAAAAGAAATATACTCACGATGTCAGTAGTCTTTTGGACAATAAAGATAACGGAATTAAATCTTCTTCGTCGTCCGTAAAGGCTGAATCGATAGCTTTTTTTACTTCGAATGCTTGATTGTTCGTTTTTGATGCTTCGTTCGTCATTTTTTTCGACTTCTTTCAAAATTACGATCGTTGGTGTGACAGTTTGTGAATTCGGGAGTTGGTTAAGTGGTTTTATAAATGATTGACATATTACGCAACGATGTTAAATGTGGAGCTTTACTATTGGCTAATATTTTAAATCTTAAAATGTCATTCATATGATTGGTTATTGAGAAGCGTCTATTGTTTAAAGTCAAATAAGAAAAAAACTTCAAATTTATAAAAAACTTCAAGTTTTTTATTTGAAGTTGTTCGAAGGAACTTCAAATTTTGGTTTTTCAAAAAACTTTAATTTTTAAATAAGGAATAACTTAGATTTTTTTTTTAGCTTTGAATATGAAAAAACTTCAAATTTTTTTTGTTCAGTAATAATGACGTCTCTTTTTTAAAGATAGTTTGAAATTAGCATACAATACTTCGATCTAGCTATAAAAGCGAGAGCTTTTTTCAATTCAGTCAGAGCGTCTTGGGCCAGAGCAAAGGTTCATAAGAGATAAAGAGATTGGTTCATCATACAAGGTACTTTTACGAATATGGTTTTTTGTAAAATATGTTCGTTAGAATTTCCTGATAATAAGTCTTATGATATACATGTTAAAGAGAAGCACTTTTCTTGTGATTTATGTTCTAGTGTTTTAAAAACACAGAATACGTTGACGAAGCATAAGAGATTATACCATGAGAGGAATTTTCATTGTCGTTATTGTGACGAATCTTTTCCGACTGTTCGTTCTTTGACTTTACATCGAACAATTTATCACGAAAACAACGAGGAACATGTTTGTGATATTTGCGGTAAAGTTTTTCGTAAGATTGGTAGTTTAAGAAAGCACAAGACACAAGTTCATACTAATCCACTTCAATGCGATTTATGTCAGTGTGAATTTAGATCAAAATACAAACTTCGTAGCCATATAGCGAAAGAACATTCGGAGAATTGTTGTAATTTTTGCGGTTATGGTTTTTTGCGAAAGAAGGATTTGTTTCTTCATCAAGAAAGACATTGTAAACAATCTTTTAAATGCGAACATTGTCCGTTGGAGTTTAGTTCTTTGATGTTGTGTAACAAACACATGCTTAAAAATCACGGTCGTTTGGGATTCCAAATAGAAGCGGTTCCTACACAATGTTCTGTTCGAAAGTTCGTAAATAGATTAAAGTATTTATATGCACCTTGGAGAGAAGACATAAATGCAATTCATGAGGAGCATTTTTTTTTAAATGCTGTAAATAAAGAAGTTAAATTAATGGAATTGTATGATACGAGTGGTGATTTATTGGGTGAAGGGAAGGCGTCTAGTTCTAAACATAACGAAGAAAAAGGGCAGGAAGATATATTAACGAACGCTGTCAAAAAGGTACGATCGGTATGGCGAGATATGGTAAAACATGCTTATTTAGACAATGCATCGGAAATTATGTTACATTCTCATAAATCAGAAAACGGAGACATAATAAAAATAAATATTCCTTATGTTGAAAACGTTCAGTTTAGGCAGTTTTTGGAAAATTTGATACATGATGTATATAACGCAGCCGTACATCAACTACCTTACAAAATGGGAATTGCGTTCGGTTTTATGCTTTTGGATACAGAAAAAACGACTGTAAGACATTGGTATGTTGATGAACATTTAACTAGAACACCGCAAAATAAAGATATTCTTCATCAAGTTCCGAATCTTTTCGTTATAAAAAACAAAAATGACGCAGATTCTGTTATCGAAGATTTATATAAACAAAACTATTTCGACTTGGTTCGGAGAATGTTTTATTCGTATCGAGTGCATATTTTACGAATAACAAATATGAAAATATCAATATTTAAAATGAACGACGACAAAATGGACGATTTGGGAGGTCGGAGTAGCGAAGACGAGAGTTCGGATGATGAAGATGATGACGAAGATTTCGAAGATGAAAGCGATATCGAAAAGAATGATTTTCTTTTATTAGAAGCTGAAGATGAGGATGATGGTGACGATTTAGACGAAAACGAAAGCGATTGTGATGTTCAAGAAAATGTTGAAAAATCAGATTTTAAAGATTCTGAAACAGAAAAGGATTTAACAAAAATACGTTCTTTTTTAAAAGCGGGATTAAGAACAAACAAAATATTTAAAGGATTAAAAAGGGACCTGCAAAGAAATGTTGGTGGAGTCGTAAATGATAATAAATGTTTTTTTCAGGATGATAGCTGTTTCATTACTATTAGTTGATAAGGAAATAAAATTGGAGAATTTGATAATGCGGAAAGGCGAAAATACTCATATAAAAACGGCTGAACTATTTAGGATGTATGCTGAAGTGTACAAGCTTACTCCAGAACAAATATTAACTTTCCAAGGTGTATCTGTTAAAGTCATGCCTGCTATGGAGTTTTTGTTTAAGTGTAAGATCATGGTTTTTATTCCTAAGGTTTCGAAAGGTAGAGTGAAAATGGCTTTTTTGTCAAAATCTTCGAACAGACTTATTTTCGAGAAGAAAATGAATATTAACTTGATTTTGTTTAATCAGCATTATTATTTGGTTATTAAGAAAAGACTTTTGATGGACAATATTAGTTGTCTGGTATGCGGACAGAATTTTACGTGGATGAAAAGTTTGTTACGACATAGAGCTGGAAGCGGCAAAAAAATAACACGTTGCAATACTGATGTAACCCTTATTAGCGCTACTGGAGTTGTTGATGTTCATGAACTTTTTCCTGAAATGTTGAAAAAAATGTTTCATTTGCCGGATGAACTATTAAAAGATATTGTAAAAGACGAGAATAACGACATTGATAACAATGAAAATAATAATAACATGTATTTTAAAAGAAATATGGTTTGTTACGATTTTGAGAGTTTGCTTAAAAGAACGACTTTGAGTGAATTAAAAAATCGGAGATTAAAGAGTATAAGAGACGGCTTTTTTGATGAAACTGAAGAAAACGAAAGATTAAAAAAGGAAGCTGAAGAACATTTTTTGACAGAGAGAGAAGTTATGCAAGAATTGTACGACGAGGAGTTTGTTTTTTCTGATGACGGCGAATCTATAATTTCTTCGCAACAGTTCAAAGAGAACTCCGCTGATTTGACTATAGATGGGGAGGAATACGTGTTTGAAAATATACCTTTGTCGTACGCAATATGCAGCAATTTGACAACAGAGCATATTGATCATTTACAACCAGATGAAAATGGTTATTCTACTGTATTTCGCATATCTGAAAATCCGACAGAATTGATAAATTTTTTCGTCGATGATCTGGAAGAATTGGTGAAATTAAATAAAGAAATGGAATTTTGTAGATATAGAGAAATTATTTTATATATAAAGAGATATTTTGCCGAAAGAAAGATACTTATTAAATTTACTACTAAGGAGCTAAATTATCTCCACAATGATGACTTTATAAGCGCGATTGACGATGAGGAGGAAGAAGGTGAGGGGAGTTTTTTTAACGGATTTGTAAGTGTGAGCTCTACTTTAAAAGAAAAAAATATGTCGGATGATGATTTGGTTACAATGTCGAAAGAAATGGAAATAATGGAAAAGATCGGTAAAGATCCAATGACGTTGATTGAATTGAATGCAATTTATAATAGAGGATGGGGTTTTTATCACTGCTCTGCCATTCTTGTATCCAAGATAATACACTCGTCATGTCGTTTGGATGCCGCTCCACTTCATAGATTCCAAATGCTCTTCTAATATTTGCCAAATCCTGTTTGTCGATTAAATGATCCCTAGAAAAAATTGCACCAATGTTTTCCCGGAATGCATCCAACACCTTTTCTTTCGAAACTCCTTGCTTCAATTTTGCTGCGATTTCTTCTTTCTTTTTCTTTGACAGCCAAAGGTACTGCAAAGATCTCTGATGACCATAGTGGGATAGGCAGAACTTAACAAATTTGCGTTTTGATGGATCTTCGGTAACTCTCATCGTACAGGTGCGGTTTCTGTCCATTCTACAAGAACCTAAAAGTAGAAACGAATCTTGAGAACCTCAGCTTAAAATTTTGCTTTTATGTCATAAAGGATATGCTTTACTGAACATTGACATATTTAATAAAAACGTTTAGTGAACACAACATCATTAAAACTGATGATTCCAAAAGCAATTAAATTGGTCACTTTACCTTCTGCCTTTGAATTTCTGCACCTCTTCTCCTTGTCAACTCGGGATTTGAAAACTCCAGAACGATTACACTGGAAGTATTCGACCGTCTGGCCTAGCTTGTTCTTTGCACGTCCGTATGCTCTGAACGATGTTTGTTCCTCTTCTTCTTTTTCGGCTTTCCACTCATGGAATTTTTAGGTAAAAAGTAGATCATAAAAATATCATTCTACACACTTCTACAGTACAACTTTTCTAAAAGAATTGAGTCAATACATTAATGCTGTTCTATAATGAAATATTACCTATCAGTTATCCTCAGTTGAAATGGATTAAAGGTAAAAGCATAGACATTCTTGAATAGCACCGACTTAGGATTTGAGCTGTGTACCAAACAAAAATCCCAGCTAAAGAGAACTTTTCAGCAATAAAACATTTATACTATGGTTACCACCCCCATGGCAGTAGAGAGTTTAGACTCCCCTCAATTGCAGTGAATGGTATAAAGAAATAAAACTGTTGTACTACCCTCAACTACAATATAAGCTTTCAAACACAAAACACTACAGAAAAGAAAAAACAAAATTCAAACTTACTTCTGTTAGGAATAAGTCAGTGTGTTCAAACAAACTCTGCAAAACAAAGGAAGGCCTCACAAATTTTGCAGCAAATTCAAACACAGTGGACAGTGGAAAATGATCCATAAAATTTGAATAGGCATTGAGCTGTATCCAAGGACATAATTGGATGGAATTTCTGGCAACAAAAGGGAATTGTATGATTTAACCCTGACCACCATGACAATGTGACTTAAGCAAGTTGACCTTCGACTCCCCTAATAACTCTATATTATAAACTTTAAATCACACAATATTGCATAAAAGAGAAAACAACATAAAATGTGACTTGCATAAAAGAGAAAACAACATAAATTCGCATCCAGAATTCTCAAACACAGTATAAAGAGGGCAAGGTGTAACAAAGGGCCACAAAGCTGATTAGGAAACATAGCAGTTCTGCTTGATTCGGGGTCAAAATTCACTTTTTGCAGCAAAGTTTAAATGGCAATTAAAAGGCGCAGTTTTGTCTATCCTCATCAACTGACCGCCATGACAGTTTCACTACGGCAAGGTGACCTTCGGCATGGTGACCCTTGACTCCCCTAACCACAATATTGCAGAGAAGAGAAAACAAAATTCATACTTTTAAAATAAGTATCAGAAGATAAGTATCAAACAACTCACCGAAACTTTCTTTCTAATAACTCTTACGCTCAACGGTCGCTCTTCGTTGAAGATCAATATAATTCGGTTCTCCTCAACGCTACAGAAAATGTTCATTTGAAAACTGCACAAAGAGCAGCAAGGGACAAAGGAGGCTCCTTTGAAATTTGAAATATATTTTCTGAGGAACCAGCGATCCATCGAAGAAACACGATTGGCTGATCTTGTCACGTGCCCTTTGTTCCATTGTAACGAACAGCGAATCTTCAAACGGTAGTAAGAATCAGAAAGAAAGTTTTCCAGACGACCCGTTTCTGCCTGGGAAAAGTCGAAATATCTCGAGAACCAAGGCACCAAAAAAGACGTACCACCCGCATTCTGTTAGACGAATTATTCAGCTTGAATTTAAAACCTTTTCGGGGAAAGTCCGCCCTGCCCTTCGGGCAGGGGAGGGGAGTCATCGGAGGCGACTGTGGATCTTTTGTTCGGGTTCATTTGCATAATAGCAACATTAGTATTAGTAGATACCAACGTTCCTCCTGTTGCATATTAAACCTAGCGCTCCTGCGTAGCGCCCTTTGAAGCAGTTGGGTAGGCGGCTCCGCAGCGGTAGATTTTATAAATAATGTCAACGCGCAAAAATTAACTAGTTTCGTTAAGATGGATGAGAAGATGGACAGTAGGGATAACTCTCTACCTTCTTCCTATGTTTTCATGAATTGCCTGCATGCTTAGGATAAAAAACTTGAATTGCAGTATCACTATTGGAATAAGGATGAGAAAAAGTGGATGCTTTTGACAAATTTTTTTGATGTTTGAAAAGTGTTTTTTGCGAATAACTTTTGAACCGCAAGTGGGAATTGAAAAATTATTTTTTTAGAAGGTTTAAGTCGAATACGAAATCTGGGAGTTGGGGTAAAGGGGTAAGGTGGGGTAAACCCCAAAAAAAATGTGTCACGGGGGTGGAAAAAAACGGCCAAAAACAGGTTTTTCATGAATAACTCGAAAACAAAAAGGGGTATTGAAACGGGGTTTGCGGGAGGTCGTAGAACTAGTGACGGCGCACCTTTGACTTAAAACGGTACTCTGATTGGGCGTGGCACCTACGTCACAGTGACGTCAGAAGAGGCGATTTTCAAGCTAACGGGGCAAAAAAGTGACAAGAGGTACAGAAGCCCAAATAGGCTCAAACTGTGCCAAATTCAGTGGGCTACCGGAGGACTTACACCAGGGTACCACCTTTCTGTTCCGAGTTATTTGGCACAAACCGACTTGCACTGGTGCTGAAAAGTGCCAAAAACACACTTTGGACCGTAACTTTTGAACCACAAACGGGATAAAATTGGGACCTGGCTCAAACGAAAGATCTCCGTGAGGTCCACGAGTGACCTGATTCTGGGCGTGGTTGGGCGTGATTGTGACGTCACAGAGGCAAGCGAAAGTGGGCCCTGTTTGGGACCTTGGCACAGAAAGACCAAATGTGGTACCGAAGTGCAAACGTTGCCAAAGTGGTCGCTATATGGTGGATTGAAAAGGGTGGGAACGGCGACTTGGTACTTTGTACGGTTGTGCCACTGTGTGCCAAAAACCAAAAAATAGGGTCAAAAACGGTGTGCCAAAAAAGTCTTTTGGCCATAACTTTTGAACCAGAGTGGGTACCACGACGCTTCTCGCACTAAATGTTGCCCCTTTCAAGGGGCATTGTTGGGTGTAGTCAGTTTTGGATTTGGGCGTGGCTATGACGTCACAGCGACGTCGGAAAATTGAAAAAAAATTTGACTTTGAGGCCGAACAATGTTTTTTGTGTTTTAGTGTTGGGAAATCCAAACGAGCCAAAAAACTTACCATGAGTGGGCAATCCGGGCCTGTGGTCGAAAATCGATTGTCACATTTCCTTAGTACTAAGAAGTGCCAAAAGTTTAAAGAGCCATAAAATTTTGGTTTTTTGCAAATAACTTCTATCACAGACGTTGTACCCCCCCCCCCCACATACCACCTTAATGGATAGAGGGCATTGCGGCGCATCTTTTCATGGTATAGTTTTTCCAAAAAAAGTTGAAGATAATGTGCCATTTTGTCCCAAAGTTTGAAAATGTGCCAATTTCAGACGTTTTGGCCTATATCTCTGCTCACGTATATGATACCTCAGCTTGCAATATCTCATATGAAAGGGCGTTTGTAGACGGTCAGTTTGATGTATTTGGTTTTGGATTTGGGCGTGGCTGTGAAGTCATAGCTACGTCACAATGGCGAATTTAGGCCTGTTTTCAAAAATTCGTTTCTCTTTCGTGAAACAAGTGTTAGTGTGAGTAATAGGAGGAAAATGTCGGTAAATTGATGGGGCGGAGTGTTATTTACAGTACCTGTCACAGTTGGGCTAGAATTGACACATTTGTAATGGGCGGTATTTGAAAAAAGTTTAGGCCCATAACGTTCGTCATACATGAGGTACCTCAGATATTATTGCAGCAAACGAAAGATCTCGTCAGGACAAATTGATTGGTGGTATTGGTTTTGGGGTATCACCTAGTAATGACGTCACTATGACCTGTTGAAGTTTTGGCACATTTCTGTATTGGTGTAATTGTTCTTTCTGACTAGGCTCGGTCCGCCATTTTTTTTTTTGACTTTCGAAGCTTTATTGCCATAACTCGGCGACTGTATGGAATGAATTAGGGGCCATGGGCTCATTTTGAAGGGTTTTACAAGAGTCATCTGCTGGTGTAAGTTGTTTGTTAATTGGGCGTGGTTATGATGTCACACTGACGTCATAGTTTTATTTTTGATGATTTGTTTTAGTTTTTTATCAAAAACAATCTGTACATCTGAATGAATGACACCAAGTGAAAAATATCATTGATGTGATTCGAATGGTACTATTATATGAGGGTTTAGTTTAGCAATTGATGATTCTAGAGCGTTTTTAATGTCTGGTACGGTAACGTCTATGTAGCTCTATCTGGCCCTC